GTATTTTTTTACTTAGAATTATTTTATAATAATATAAATAATTCTAAATTATTATTAATTAATTTATAACAATATAAATAATTCTAAATTATTATTTAGAATTATTTATATTATTATTTATCATTTAGACTTATTTAGCTTTTTTCATCTCTCTTTTTAAAAATATTAAAATTATCAGATAGCGCATATATAAAAATGTTATCTAAAGTTTATTTTTAAGCAGATATTTGTTTTGTGCATTGCAAATTTCTCTGATCGGATTTACAAATTTTTTGACGTGATTCATCGTCGTGTAAACGTATTACGCGTGACATTAAACGTTATCACGCCCTGTTTTTCAATTAACTCGCTTCGTCAAGAGTGAATGGACGGAAATCAAGGAGAAATTTGTATCCTCGATGGTGCGCCGCCCTAGTCGCATTATCGAGGGCGACGCGTGCACGCTAGTTTATGGTAGTTTCGATCCTGAAGGGATAGTCCGCGTCGAACTTTGGTCGAGCACAAGCGAGGCCAAGTTAATTACTGGAATTAATGTGGTCCGACGGCGTTAATCCGCGCGCGGCACGCGAGCCAATCAAGAGGTCAGATAAGAATTAAACGGCATCGAGCCGACGCCTCGTTAGCCGTCCCGTGTCGGACATAAATTTCACACTAAGCCCAGCTCACATTCGATCGAGTTCACGCCGATAGACGAGAATTTCTCGCGTTCGTTAGCTATGCATTTCTGCGCTATTTTACGCTGATATATCTATAATAAATATTGTAGGATCGTTGAAATCCGTCTTTATAGTTTTTGAGAATATCTAGAAAAATGACTGAATATCAAAAGACACAATTAATGATGCTGCTTTTTTAATTCCCTATGATTCTTATCAATCTTGAAGATTTCGATTCAACGCCATGTTTAATTTTCAAAATTCTTTTCATCTAAATTTCTTATTATAATTAATTTTGTAAAAATATGCGAGTTTGGATAAATATTGATTTTTTTTTGATTGTATAAAATATTGAATAAGAATTCTTTGGGAGTTTTTGCGCGAGCTCGTATATCGAAATATATGGGCCGTTAAATGTAAGTGGTACTGATGCTTAAGTATATCAATTACTATGACTTCGATCGCTGTGATTAATCCGTTCGACCGCCTTACGCCTGATCACTATAATTTTCTCGCTGTCGGGACTACAAGAGAACCATTGATTGCAGAGGAGCGATACAGATGGTCGGTGGAATCGATAATTATGATTTTCCTAAGTGATAGTTAATAATATCTTAGTATTAAAATGTAGTTTTTGATGCTATGGCAATTGCATTGGAAAAATTGATAATTACTGATGATAAACATTTTATCCGCAATAATCTTTAATGATACTGTTTTTATCTCATCATTTACAGTTTATTAATTGTAATTGGATAATAATACGTTATTTTTGTATAGTCAGTATGTCATCATTTATAATAAAAATTCTTTGTCTTTTATAGCATTGCCTCGGAAAAAATTCATACTGAAAATAGTAGATTAATTACTATTGAATAATATATATAAATTTTTTTATTATCCTTGATATTTAGATTTTTCACATAAATTTTTCACAAATCCGAATGTTAGATTAATTACTATTGAATAATATATATGATTTTTTTTTAAATCTTCGATATTTAGATTTTTGACATGAATTTTTCACAGATCCGGAAGAATTAAAAAAAATAAAATAACTGTAATAATGAATAAGTAGAAGATTGATCGATTAATTTCGCATATTCTTTCTGCGCATACGAGGATAATAAATATAATTGTTAAGAATTATAAAGAGATAAAATCACAGAAATGTGAGGCCGCGATTTGATGATATTAGTGCCGTGATATTGCGTCTTCTTCGCCATTTAATCAAACCGTCTAATAACAGCCTGAAAAGCATACGTTTGTAAGGGCCCACAACAGAATAACATTTCGTGGTACTCTTCTTCGTACTAATCTTAATCAGTACGAGTTCATTTTCTAAGGGCCCGCGAGAGACGCCAACCGTTTACCTTTAATTATAGGGCGGCTCGAGCCTCCTAAATTTATCGCTAATAACGTTGCAGCGCAGAACCTTAAACTCCATCGTCGACGGATCTTTACGGGTATACGTCGTGCATATGTCACGTGCTGACGTTAAACGAATGCGCGAATATATACTCTCGCAAGACGTGCTCGAACGACCAAATATACACATCGGCTGATTACTCTGTGGCATATATTCCTTTCGTATGTTAGACTTTAATGAACGGCATGCGGAGGGAGAGAAAGAGAGGAGAGTTACGTACCATAAAATATATCAACGCGCTCTCTCCCATCGTCGCGATGGAATCCCTTTGTGTGAGTCACGACACGAAAGGAGCCGAATATTCCAAAGACAAGCAGTGTGAGTCTTAACATTCAACAACAATGTTCTTTAAACAACGAGAAGAACTTCTAACCGAAAAAATATATACTTGATATATAAATATTTGCAGTAATTAAAAAAATTACATCTTTGCAGATTCTCGATATAAACATTGAGAAGAAAAAGAAATTTAAACTCACGAATCAAAAACTGAACAGCTCTTTAAAAAGATAATATTGATTTATGTATAACAAAATCTATATAGAAAAAGGAATTACAAAAGAAACTACTTTGCAATTGATAATTTTTATTAATATATTTAAAATCTCTTTTATATTTTAATTTATCTAATATTTTAATCTTTTATATTTTAATATCTAAGTGTTGTATCATTCACTTTACCAAAAAGAGACATATTCTTTGCATGAATATGCATTTAATAATGTCCCAGTTTGTTGAGTTTCCTTGACCTGGACATTTTACTTAGCTTGGATCTGTCTTTTGACAGACATATACAATTATTTTCAAATTACACTTATAAAAACTGAGTTTTATATTTCGCTAATGTAAATATTTTAAAAATAAATTATATAAATTAAAATATATTAAAATATATTATTATATTGCTCGCTTATGTTAGATCGCAATTAAAGTATGCCTTGATTGTTTGAATCTCTTATATAATTTAAATCAATTAAACGCAAATACAACATTGCTAATTAAATGCAAGTACAATATCGCTTCCTTTATCAAATTAATTTTTATTTTAGTAAATTTATAAAAGATTGGCTTAAATAATAATAATTAAAAATTAATTAAAAATTGACAGTAAGGAGCGGCAATTGGAGTGCAAGAAAAAAAACACTTTCCTTTTTTTAGTTATTATATTTTGAATTATCATACATGCATTAAACACGAATTGTAATGAGCAATTCGAAATATACTAATAATTAAAAGAAAGAGGAAGGTGTTTTTTCTTCTTTCTTGCTCTTCAATTGCCGTACCTTACTAGCTCTTGTTAATTTTTAATTAATTTTTAAGTCAATCTATGAGTATTTGAGATCATTTTGTCCACTTATTAAATATATATATATATATATATATATATATATATAATCTCTAGATTTCAATTTTAGCTACAAGGAGGACTATATAATAAATTATTTCCTTTCAATCTTTTAAATGGATTATTATCTGTCCTGAATTATTGGAAAAGATAATATTTCATATTTCAAAAAAATTAGATCGCCGAAATAAAATACTATTTCACGCAGATTTCCATCGATTTTATCACTTTATATGATAAATTTAAACCATCGCATCGGATTATGCTTATTCAATAACGATCTTTTTAATCAAATTGATTTCTTTTATTACGTTTAAATGAAATTTAATTAATCTGTTATAAGTATATATCTGTACAATTTTTTGTATTCATGTTGTTATACGTTCTTATCTTTCTCTTACTATTTTCTCTAGGAAAAGAAATTGCAAAATAAATTCGTTAAATAAATAAATAAATAAACAAATAAATAAATAAAATATTTGTGACTTTCAATCATCGATATTTACTAGACTTTATTTTTGCTTTACGTTTTATTTTTGCCGGTAAAATGTTGGCCGATATCATCGTAATCCAAAGAGATTGAATCGTATACGCTCTTCCAGCACACGTGACTAATGCTTCCGCGGCAGACGGCCGATTGTTTCGACAAAAATGTATTATGCACCGGCGACGGTGGCGGAGACCGTCGTAAAATATGAATCTCCACCTCGGTTGGGAGAAATTTGGTTCCGGGGAACGAGCGCTACGTGTGCGACTGGAAAAGGGATGGACGGGACGGACGTTGGTGGCTTGTTATAAAAGTTTCTCTCCTTGTAGCGTAATACCAGAGAGTGGATATCCGTTTTCGGACGGTACTCGGGCCACAATTAAATTGCTCCTTCTTGCGCACTCTTTTATCTCGGCGACGGCCGACCGGATTTACTTTGTTGTTGCTCGCCCTGGAAACGAATTGCGTCTTCCCCGACGAAGGTTGCGGGCACCGCAACTGCTGCAGCTTCCGCACGGATGCACCCGGGCAATCCGAACGACATCCGGCCGTTAATATCCGTTTGATATCCCCCTACTTTGTCGTGTAATGTGCATTATATTATCTCTCTTTCTCGTTGAAAATGTTGAAGATGTTCTTTACGTTAATGATTTTCAGGATTCGCTTTATATTCCGCTTCTCCCTTGAAGGCTAAGTAATTATACTCGATGAAATAACATGCATAATAGTTTGCAATAGTATTATCGGTTACACGCAAATTTCATCTTCCCGAGAGTCTCTCCAACACGTGTTATTAATCCGACTTGCTGACCTCGTGTACTATTCTAAACCGTGAAACCGTGGAACTTCTCATCCCTTCGGCAATCCTCGGTATAAATTTTCTATGAAGACAGGATCCATTGTTATCCGTTGTAGCAACTGAAAACTCTATATCTTAGCGGGAGTGGGACAAATTACTTTGCTGCACACAAGTGTTACTCACTGAATCCGACCGAAACCGACCGGCGATATAATGGACAATTTATTTCGAATCTTTAATAAAAAACTTTCATTAACACAAGCACCTTTTGATTTTTTTTACAGATATATTTGCTGGGCCTCGTCGTGAGCGACAACAGCACTATCGGCGATCATTCGATCGCAGAAGATGCCTCGGACATCAGCAACACCGGCAATAATCCCGCGGCCGATGCCGTAGATCAGGTAAGACGATTCTTTTTTATCTCGGCTCTCTTTGTCGATCGCGATCGCTTTATTCCGGTCGGGTTTTCGTAACCAGTTTGGTGGGTAATCCTTCGTTTTCCATCGGATCGAAGACCTGAAGAATTGGCGGTCATGGTTCACAGAGGAGACGGTGAAAGGAGCAAAATGCTTGCCGCTCGTGTTCGATCTCGCGATTCGAATGACGTGTCTATACAAGTGCCAGCCACACGTAGGATACAGGCAACGAAAAGACGGGAAATTCATACAAGCACGGAGTAAAAAAGGAGAGAGGGGAAGCTGCGAGAGGGAAATGTTGCTGGAAAAGCACCGGGAAAAATAAACATCTTTATTCACGTCGACCGCCGACGGAAATGGGTCGCAGAAATCGGACAACTGTGTTGTCGCGCGTCCGCAAAGCCGTGCTTTTACCTTACCACCTAGGTAACTTCGCTAGAGTTTTATGCGGTGCTTCCCAGTTCGCGAGGAATGTTTTAAGTTACCATTCCTTTGACGTCATCGGATCCTTCTGGCGTCCTCGCGACGTTGTTCTCGGGCCGCATTTAAATAGATATCAATGGAGATGGGAACATACAAGAGGATGTGTCTTGTTGTTTCCGCGACGAGCTGTTTATTACGCATGACGTGATATCCAGGTTGTGTGCGAGCGCTACATGACGTGATATATGCGAAAAACTTTTTGGCAAAATTTATCATTACGAAAAGTCTCGTTTTTTAAAAATATATAACGCTCTAGCATTGAGAGAGAATTCTTTTCGCTGAGAAATTCTCTTCGCGAGAATGACAGAATATTTATAACCAATCATCTTTAGTATCAGAGAGAGGGATCAGTAATTAATATTGAAAATTGTTAGAGTATTATTATGAAAAAATTATTACGTAATTTATTAATATAAAATTTCAAAATTTTATAAATATAATATTTTCTAAAAATTCAACTTTCACACTTTTTAAACTTGTACAGGCAATTTTCTGTATCGCATAAAATTTCGAAATAATATAAAATTCTTTTTTACAATTTTTCAAGTCTCTAAGCATACGAGAGTGAAGAAATTACATTTCTCTAATAGATTTATGTAGTTTAGAATTAACAAAGTTAGAACATTAGCATAGGAACCATCAAATTTGTATAGCGTTCTCATTCAATGAACTTCGTGCACGTATTATGCTTTACTATTAAGAAAACTAATGAAACCGTGGAACGCTAAGCTTGCCTACATCATATTTTAATCCGTAGTAATTCTTATCGTCGTTTCGTACGTCAAAACAGTTGCAGTATAAGAGGGTAATGTGAAAACCGCTTAATATTAAAGTCGAAAAATTGCTCCGTCCCAATCTCATTACATCCCTTGACAGTAGAATGATTAACGTGGGACACGCTTTTCCGGTGCTGGACTGTTCAATTAGCTCCGACCGCATGTGACTGCTATGATGCATGTGACCGCTCGCCGTAGGTTTCCGGGCACTGTGTAATAGTTAAACAGGGTTTCGCCTACCTACATCCACAGTCAGACTTTTCCAAAGTACTCACGCGCGGAGATTAGCTCGAAAAGCACATTGCAGTCGTTCAATTTCCGCACGGGAAATCATCGTCGCGTTATTATGCATGCGCTTTTACAAGCGCTTTTACCGCTTTGACAGTGATACTATCAATCGACTGCATTGTCGAAAATAAATCTCACACACACAAATGCTAGGAAATATTAAATCGCCGATTATTATTAAAAGAATCGATTGCTTCAATATTATATATTTCGTGTGTAATAATTTTTTTCATTTATAATAGATATTTCTCTCATTCTTTTTAATTTATATAATATTTCAACGTAATTTAAATCGACCACACTGGCAATTTATTGGTTAATAATGTATCACAACGTTTCGACCATGGGTTTTGGTCCTTATCAAGTGAAAGTAAATTAGTTAACTATTATATTGTGAGAAATGAAGAAATCACATTGTCAAGATGTCTTTCTCTTTGTGTTTGAGGGAGAGGTTGACATGATGAAATCTTGACAATGTGATTTCTTCATTTCTCACAATATAATAGTTAACTAATTTACTTTTACTTGATAAGGACCAAAACCCATGATCGAAAATCGTTGATACATTACCAACCAATAAATTGCCAGTGTGGTCGATTTAAATTACGTTCTTTTATTTTATCTACTGGCGACATTCAAGAATTTAACGTTATTATATAATATTTAGTTTAATATAAAATTATAGTAAATTTATAATAATATAAATAATAATATAATATAATAATACAAAATTATAGTAAATTTATAATAATATAGATAATAATATAATATAATAATATAAAACTATAATAAATTCATTATAATATAATATAATAATATAAAATTATAGTAAATTTATAATAATGATTAAAATAAAACAATTTCGACGATTGTATCCTGTCTAATTAAGAACGTATTCAATGTTCAACTGCAACACTAACTTGGTTAAAACCCCTGATGCTACCGCCATGTCACGGTTTTGTTTTTCGACGATGAAATAAGAGTTTACATTTCTTTAAGTGGGACCCAGGAGACAAAGCGAGCGCGGAAAGGAAAGCATTACTGGTGCATTTCTCGGCAGTAACGCGCAGTAAGAATAGCGCGGCGCGATGGTAGGATCGAGCTGTAAGTAACGCTCCTTTGCCGTTAGTATCTCACTAGGCGGATACGTTTAGGCGACGTTAAAGCCATACCTGCGGATGCACTCTCGCGCTGTTTCCCGATATTCTAAATCATTTCTACACACGATTACACGTGGTACACGAGTATGAGCGCGTTACTGCGTTAGTAAGTATACGAGCGCAACCGGCGCAGGAATGTCTGGCCGGAAACTGCAAAGTACATGTAAATTGCCTGGCGTACTTCGTAAATTCCGCTGTCTTGCGGAGTAATCGCAATCTCTCGGAGAGCCGAAGGATAACGCGAAACAAGAAAGTATCTCGCTGAATCTCGTCACGGGCCTTGTTTCTTCTAGCGAAAGAGAAGAGAATAAAGGAGAATCTTTTGCGCATCGTGTGGCTACATGTCATCGTTTACAAAAATGTATGTACAAACTTTTATCTTGCAAAGCGAGAGGAGCGATTTCCAAGCGAGTCGTTATATCTGCTATATTTCCCTACGATTCTTTAACATTTGAAAGTTTTATTTTCCTTCTTATGAAGATTCGAACGAGATACACGTTCGAGTAATTTTACCGTGTTACGATATTGTTATTGAGGAAAATTTACATAATCTCTTTACATGATCATTTGACATGGTAAATTTCAATTTCTTCGTCGCGATATTAGAATTTTTGGGAGGCTCTTTGATACGCTCTTGGGATACTCTTTGATCGGAATCGCACGAAATATAAATACTCGGGGCTCTTCCCCGGAGGTGATGGGATAATTTTAGGAAAGCTATCATATACGTATTACGCTCAAATACACAGTAAAAAATATAAAATGTTAATTATAACATTTTTCCCAGAAAGTTCGTTCTAAATTTTAAGTTAAAATAACTCATTTATCGTATGTTATTGACAAATTAAGAATTTTAAAATAATTGGCACAATACATTTATTTTTGTTATTGTGACTTTAAGTGTAATGTAAAAATAACATACAAATTAATTAAAAATTACATGAAAAAATAGTTACAATAATTCGTAAGAATTGTTGTAAGACATTAACATATAATAGTAATTATTTTAACTTAATTATTTGTAATAGAAGTATTGATTTTAGTAAATGTGATTATTTTGTATGTCAAAGTTCAAGATGTCAATTATTTAAAGATTTACTTAAACTTTTCTTAGAATGTTAAACTGACTTTGAGACATATTGATTGTTTAAAATGATTGTTAAAAATACTCAAAATAATATTTCATTTCTAAGGGACATATATAAAGTGTTAAATTATGAAATTGACATAAATGTAACACATGAAAACGTTATCAAAATAATAACATATAAGTTGTATATTAATTTTACATTAAAGTATTAATCAAAACGTGGTAACACAAGAAAATTAAAAAAAAAAATATGGACACAATTTTTTACTGTGTAGTAATGAGAATAATAAGTAAATGAGAGTGTGAAGTATAAGTAAATATTGCATTTTTATCAGATTATACAATATATAAACAATGAAAAAAAATGAAGAAAACGAGAAGATTTTCTTAAAATTCAATCATTACAATTAGATGCTTAATAGATATAAAGTTGTTGATTGATTGTAACTTTGCATAATTCTTTCTGTCATTATAATAAAAAGACGAAATTCTCTGAAAACGTTTTCATTAATCACTTTAGTCAGTGATTTTTTTATTTCGGTGACGTCTCAATTGTCCAGCAATTAAATTCCTCGTAGCTCATATACTAGTAATTCAAATCAAAAGAGTAGCCGCAGTCGTTGCGAGTTCGTAAAATTCATTCGATGGGTTTGAGACGTTCGAAAAATATGTGGCCATTTTTATGGTATCGTTGTTGATACGTTCCTGAGCTTCTATGGTGAAACCGACATTTTTATTCCGGATGTCATTCCGTTCTCGACAATCGGATGCGCGCTCGTCGCGCGTAAAACTCGCAAAACTGCCGGGTGTTTTTTGTCGCCAGCTACGACTTGCCAAATCGTTTCGCGCAATCGTCGAAGGATGAGGCTGAAGGAAGACTGATTGTAAAAGTCACTGACCGCGCAAAGCGACGTATTTCGCAACATTTCGATTCTCTCTTCTTTCTATCTCGCTTTCACATCTTTTTTGTCGCAACCATAATCTTGCGATCTGCATTTTTTTGCGAGAGATTGAAGAATGATTGCGTAAACTAACGGTTTGTTTATTACCAGGCTGCGTTACATTTTGCGAAATTGAGCAGCCTATTTTTCAAGATGAGTGATCATCGGTTACTAAAATATCCTCTAGATGAAAATACTACAATGTATAAGTGATGGATATGGTAATAATAAACCGTTTAGTTATATC